ACTACTACTACTACTACTACTAATGAGGTCGTTTCAGAGACCATGGCATCGCAAGTGTAGACCAGAAATAGTCGGACCCCTCATGATCAGGACCCTTATACAAGGGTAGCGCTAGCTTGAAGGACACCCTCTACCCTGAACCTTGCATCCTAAACGGTCCCTACACCCGAACATCGGCTTCTTTACTGTTGAGCCCCCCTGAACCCGCAAATCGCGAGACGTAAACCCCGAAACCAGATGCTAACCCTGATGTTTACGCCCTAAACATTCACGTGAAGGTCGGAGTAGTAATATACCCCCCATATGGTCCTTCTTGCAGTACACTATAACACACCCCAAGAAAATGTTCGAATAAGGCCACTAAACGTAACCTTTACAGTAGCCTTGAAGGAACCCTCGCGGAAACCTTTTCCAATTATGAAGGCGCCTTAAGTACCTCATGTAGAAGGGCCCTCCTAAACCCTAAGCCCTCAACCCNNNCCTAAACCGCTAAACCTTAGACCCTACACCGTAAACCTAAACCCCTTAACCCCTAAACCCTAAACCGCTAAACCTTAGACCTTACACCGTAAACCTAAACCCCTTAACCCCTAAACCCTAGACAGAACACTACCAGCACAGGAGTTTCAATCCCTTTAGAGGCCTGAGGCCTAAGTCCGAACTGCTGTCAGAAACTAAACCTGAAATCCTAAACCTTGAACCTTAAATCCAAAACCCTGAATACTGAACCTTTAAATCTTACATCCTGAACCGTAAATCCCAAACCCTACCCTGAACCTTGAATCCTAAACCCTAAAGCTTAAATTAAGCTTTTAATCCTAAATCCCTGGACCTAGTTGGGCTTCTTTTGGCCGAGCTTCTGCCCGGCAGGACCTCCGGTCTCACATCTGCCTCCGGGAGGACGAGAAGACGAAGGCCTTGTAGGGGTGCTAGCCAGACATAATATGCATATATATATATATATATATATATATGCACACATACATATATGTATATGTATATATATATATACACATACATATATATATATATATGTATACATACACACAGACACACACACACATACATACATCCATCCATCCATCCATCCATCCATCCATACATACATACATACATACGTATGTATGTA